AGAAAAATAAACGTCTCAAACTTAACATTTTCAAAACAGAACTCTACCACCACACACACACACCCATCTCTTCCCATCTCTGTCAAAGGCACCACTATTTGCCCCCTTTCAAAGCCCTAAAACCTAGAGGTCAACCTTGATTCTTTCCTTTTTTTTTTTTTTTACGCCTACAGCAGCTGGTCTTCCTAGGTGGTCTCCCATCCACATACTAACCAGGCCCCACCTTGCTTACCTTCCGAGATCAGATGGGATCGGCATGGTCAGGGTGGCATGGTCCTAGACTTTTTTTGCTTTTTAATGGTAAAATCTACATAACAAAACCTTTCCCGTTTCCCCCCTTCTTGACTGTCTGGGTCAGTGGAATTTACGTTCATTCACGTTGTGGTGTGGCGACCTTCACCACTATCCATTCCCAGACTTTTTTCTCTTTTCCCCAAACCGAAACTTTGCGCCCACGAGGAGAATAACTCTACACCCACGATGGCCAGACCCAGGCGGCCACCTTTCTCCTTTCTGTATCCATGAATCTGCCTCCGCTAGGTACTTCGTGGAAGTGCAATCACACAGTAATTTGTCCTCTGGCGACTGGCCTGTGACACTTAGCACAGCGTCTGCCATGCACATCGTCGCATGGGTCAGAATTGGCGTCCTTTGTCAAGCTGGGCCCTGAGGCGGCTTTTACCTGCTAGGTGTTCTGAACAACGCTGCCGTGAATGGAGATGTGTCAAGATCCATTCCAGCTCCCGCTTTCGATTCTGTGGTGTGGCCCCAGAAGCGCTATTACAGAATCCCGTGACGGTTCTATTTTTAATGTTTTGAGGAAGTGCCGTGGCCTTTTCCGAAGCAGATGCACAGTTTCGCGAGCACGGCGCACAGGTCCAGCTTTGCCACATTCTCACCAACACCCTTATTTCCTGTTTCTCTTTGTTTTTTTTGTTTGTTTGTTTGTTTGTTTTTAGGAATTGGCATCTTAAGGAATATCGGAGGAGTGCCCGAGTGTGGGTGGGAAGTGGCATTTTCCTAATCTTACTGGTGCTGAACGTGTGTCTATATGTATCGCC